AGATTGAATCTAGGCAATTGGCTGACCCTGTAGCAGTCAGCCCGTGGGCTGACAGAATCCACTCCTTATATATATATATATATATATATATAACACTTAGAAACACTCATGAGTGAATTTACACAGTATTTTGCTCATGGCTCATCACCATCCAAAATCCATCAGATAATCATGATTATCCATTAGTGTTTGAATTTTTTTAATTCTTTCTACAATTATCTGCAATTTGAGGAGTGTACATCTTAACCATCTCTCACAAAAACAAAATATCAAAAAACTAATTATCAAAAATTAAAACAACCACAATACCCCTGATATATTTGTAGGGGCAATTTGGTCATCTCTATTATTTGATTATTTTTATATTATATTTAGAGGTGCCTCACTGAGGCACGCACAATTGCAAAATTTGAGGTTAATCCGTTTGTAAAAACATTATGAAAATTTAAACACTACTAGAAAATTGTGTCGATCTAATTTTGGATGGTGATGAACCATGAGCAGAATACTACAGAAATTCACTGGTGGGCATTTTTTAAGTGTTTTCATGTCACACATCAAAATCACATTTCACTGCAGAATCACATTTCACATTGTAAATCAGTAAATGTAAAGATTAAATCAGTAAACATAAAGATTAAAGCAATAGCCACAAAGAGTAAAAGACAACAGAAAAAATAATAGCAAACAGTAAACATAAAGATTAAACCAATAGCCATAAAGAGTAAAAGACAACAGAAAAAATAACAGTAATAGTATATAAAAAATCCAAAACCTTCCCTAATCATCTCCCAAAAAAAAAAAAAGATTTGATAAGATTTCTCAAACTTCTTGATGTTTTCAATCTCATAAATTTGAACCCAATCTCCACCTAAGAAAAATTTACTTTCCCCCTTAGAAGCGAGAAAAGGACCAATTCCTCCCAAAGCTCGAGGGCAACTTCCACCTGTCAGCCATGGGCGATTAAAGCAAGCACCTAGGCACTGGAGCAATGCCCCCTGCCAGGAGCAGGCAAGGAGGGCCACATCAGCCTAGACAGGCAATTTAGGCATCGATCCCCTCGATCACCCACCTAGGAGTGATGCACAATACTTTTTTTTACATTGCATTCAAAACCCTAGGAGAATGGGTTGTTTACATTTTTAGGTTTTAAAGAGATCGTGTAAAAGAGCTTGCAAAGATTGTTCTTTAATAAAAGAAATTTGGAGATGAATCAATTGACACATTTGCGACCAAAGACGTGCCAAAACTCACACTATTTTTTTTACATTGCATTCAAAACCCTTGGAGAGTGAGTTGTTTACATTTTTTAGGTTCTATAGAGATCATGTATGCAAAGATTATTCATTAATAAAATAAATTTGTAGATGAATCAATTGAAACATTTGGGACCAGAAACGTGCCCAAACTAAACACCACAAGAGCGACAGGAAACGCAGCCAAGTTTCAGGTTTAAAAACCTTTAGCACATATAGGCGGAAGATCTCAATATTTTAGGCTTTGAGAAGGTGATGAAAAGTACAGCTGGACAATAGGTGTTGGGATCTTCTCTTTAGGCAGTGATCCCACTACATAATCTTCCACCAGCGCTCTAGGATTGGGATCTTCAAGGGATCTCAATGTTTAAATTTTGGGATCTTCCTACTATTAAGGATCTCGATCCCCACCATTACGGATCTCATTCCACACCTTAAAGACCAGGTAACGATTTTCTTTATTTATAGCCAGCTATTAATGCTTTCAAGTAGCTGCATTGCTTGATGTTTATAAATTAAGAGATCCTCGTATATATTGTCATAGACCATATATGTTCTTCAAGGTTGGGGGAAATGAGAACGGGAAAAATATCACTTTAACGCAGACAATCAAATTACAAGCAACTAAAGGACATGTGAATCCGGAAAGACAGGAAGAAATATATCAATTCAATATTTTGTTTGACTTTTTTTTATATAGGTATAAGGACAGAAAGAAAGAGAGACAACAGAGTATACTGGTTTGGGTTGATAGGTTTCTATGGATGTATCAGAAAAATTTTGGGTCATATGATCCAGGACTAGGCTCTAAGTATATTAAAATACTATATCTTAGAATATAGTCTCAATGGCAGGTCCAACCAGGTAGCCAGGAAAGGGCTATGTGGTGGAGGTAGAAGTTCAGTACAGGTTACCTAAGGGAGGATTTCATATGGGTGGAAGGGCTGGGTTTGGGGGGTACTCTTTAACCACATCCTCGTGGGGGATACTCTTTTTCCCAAGAAGACTCAGATCGAGATCCCAAAAGGTCAAATTGAGATCCTCAAAAGGTTAGGATCTATAATCTTAACATTTGAGGATCTTGATCCCTAACACATGCATGGCACGAGAGGCACTTCCAACCGTAGGGATCTTCTAGGTTTTCACGATCCCTCACTCCCGATCACGATTCCGCTCCCCATCCCACTCTGGATCCCAACAACTATGGGATGGACTAATGCAATTGTTTTGTTTTTCTACTTCGACATTGTAAATTAACTTCTATAATGGATTAACTTCTATAATGAGAACGGGAAAAATATCACTTTAACGCACTTGCTAAAGTAGTGCTCCAAGAAAAACTGAAGAGTTCGTCCAACGTACAGTGTTTCCAAAAATGGCCCTCCTTGGTGCCTTGAGGCAGGCTGAAGCCCTAAGTATGGCCTACAATGCCGAGGAGTGGAATCATATGAGAAGTCCCTCTAGGCACCCACCTAGGCGGCCGAGCTGAGCACTCCAGAGCTCCCTGCCCAAGTATGTGCTGAGCACACATGCAAGAGAAGAAATGGACTTGCCCCCCAAAAGAAGGGGAAAGGCCCCAAAACCCATTGTGAGTCTAGTGAGAGAGAAAATCCCAACTAAAAAACATGGATTTCATATTCTTTTAAAGATTGAAATTTTTTCTTGAACTCTTTGGAAATCTTGCAAAATCAATAGGGATGAAAATCAATTGAAAATGAGACTCAAAAATGCTAAACAAGGTGTTTTTCACAATAATCATTAGCCAGTTCAAGCCAACTTTGATTAGGTTATGTCTATTTGGAATTCGGGTTTGGTGTTTCTTGATACTTTTCAATATTGGGTTTTTTGTTACATTTTATTTTTCCATATTGGATTTGGTTTTGTGTTTCTTTTACTTTCAAGTATGGGTTTGAGTTTGTTGGGCTTTTAAAAGATTGGGCTTGGTTTGGGTTGTTGGCATTCCTTCAAGATTGCGTCTTAATTTTGTGAATTTTTTTTCTAGTCACAGTTTCCTATTTTGGACATTCTCGTACTTCAACTATTTGCTAGTAGGGGTCTGGCTTTCTTGATGGTTCCTTACAAGATTGGGCTTTGGTTTAGTGACTTTTTTAATATTGAGTTTTGGTTTTGTAATTATTTTGTTTCCCAAATGTTGATTTTGGATATGGTTTTTGGAATTTACTTTTCTAGTATGGGTTCGGTTCCTTGATGACTATTTTCAAAATTCAGTGACCTTTTTATTTGAGTTTCAGTTTTGTAAATTTTATTTTGTTTGTAGTTTCGAAATTCAATTTTTGACCTTCTAGTTTTGCAAAAAAAATTCTAGTCAGGATTAGGGTTTCTTGATTATTTTTTTCAAGCTAGGGTTTTGGTTTGGTGACTTTTTACAATATTTTGGGTTATGGTTTTAGGATTCTTTTTCTAGTTTTCGGATTAAGATTTTGGACATTTTGGTTTTGTAAATCCTTTTCTACTAATTCAAGATTCAATGTCTTCTTTTTTCTAAGAAAAAGAAAAGGACAAAAAGCACAATAGAAGTCTAAATTCTAATTTCTCCAAAAAATTCTAAATTCTAAGGAAGTTTGTTTTTTAATCATAATTAAGGGGGTATCAAAACCAAACCCCCCAATGCCCCTAACCCCCACCACATTATGCTTGAGGTGCCTCATTCATGAAGCACCCAGTTAAGGGCGCCTTCCAAATAGTAAAACACTGCTAACATATAAATGATGACAACACAATTTAAAATCAGAGGGCTTTTATTTTTTTTCATTAATAGATGGTAACCTAGTCCCTTAGACATTATTCTCAAAGGACGTCATCTTCACTTCGCAAATGCCAAATAAGTCAGAAACGTCATGTTTTGGTAAGAAAATAGAACCAATGTCATTTCACCTTCATTTGGGTATTCAGCCATCAAGGATGGTTTGACCAATTCCAACCTGCATCTCTGTCCTGGCAGCAGGGTGTTCATTGAACCTCAAAGCCTCAAACACAACCCTAAGGCTAAAAAAGAAGCCTTGTTGATCCCAAATTTCCTAGTAATGCTGAACTGAAAAGATATCTTGAATAGATTCCAGGAATTTCCAAGGATCTCTATGGTCTTAAGTTTCATTGACTAAGAAACTATGGAAGACACATCGTAATGGATGATGTTTTCAATAACCATCTCTGACCACCATAAGTGAACCCACCCAACTGGGCTCCTCAACCCAGCCCATGGCCAGAAATCAGCTACGACAACCACCAGAAAACTAAAGCAAGACGCCCCCTCAAGCCCTCAACTCAAGGTCATTGATTAACAAACAACCATGTGAATTTCCAAAGCCATAATATTCAATAAATGAGAGATCATGCTGCAACAGAGTATCCTCGCTTTCAAAACTTCATGTTAATTTTGCCATATTCAAGAGTTTCCAGTATTTACGGCCAGTTCTCTGCAAACCACAAAAATTAAGCCCACTGGGTCCCAGTTTTAAAAACAACCAGAAATTGCAATATCATATGAAAATTAATAGGACAAAACAATGCATGCAATATGCAATTATCTTGAATTCAACTGGAGGATTACTAAATAGAGATTGGAAACGCTCACCATGGCTGTAAGTTCTGGTGTATGCTGTGCAAGTGGCCTCTTGACAACTGTCGAAGCCGCAGATTTAACATATGATGGTTTTTGTGGCAACAGATGTTTGGGTGCCCCTTGGTCATCTTCTAAAGGAGGGGCCATGCCTGGAGGTGGAGGTCTAAACATAGCAGAAGGCACAGGTGGTGGACCAAATGGAGGCCTTGGAATTGGTGGGGGTGCCAGTCCGATAGGAATGGGTGGTCGATTGGCCAGGATAGCAGGGCCAGGAAGAGGGGCCCTCATATCAGATGGTATTGGTGGCGGAGGGGGAGGCAGGAAGCGAGAAACACCAGGTGGCATGACATCAGTCTGCATAGGAGGAAGTGAAGGGGGCCTCTGCAGCAATGGTGGGCGTGGAGGTGGTGGGGGTGGAATCTTCTTCAAAGTATCTTTCGTGTCCTTAGTAAAAGTCACTTCAACATCAGCAGATTCACCTTCTGATTGGGCTTTTACTAACATTGGCGGGAGTCCTGGTGGAGGAGGTATGGCCATGGTCTGCCAGAAAGAGATGATCATTAAACTGTACAAAAGTTGAGAAGTATGTTAACATTTCAAAAGCCAAATTCCAGATTTACAGAAATACAGACCATGTTTTTATTAAGTACTAATTGAAAATTGAAAATCATACTTCTTCCTAACAAATTGAGTATAATGACATCAATTCTACTGGGAGTAAAGGAGTGCTGGCTCATTCTTATAGAATGATTATAGCTATTCTTCATATTTTTCAAGCAGCAGCAACAGTGTGATGCAAATGGTCCCTACCAGACGATAAAACATGTCATAAACAACATAAAGCAACTGAAATTTTATACTATTAATTTGAAAAAAGAAAAGGAACAAGAAAAATAGATATTTATGCTGCCATGAAAATGTTGGCAGGTGTATTGTGAATGCCAAAAGCGGCACTTGTTCCAACGAAGGATGAGCAATCACTCTATTTCATGTCATGAGACATTCTAAGGCAAAGTAGAAAATGCAAAACTGGGCCGAAGATTAGAACCAAAAAACGAAAATCAACATAAAGGCTCACAAAACGTTATATGCAAATAGCAGGAGATCTGTCAGTCTCAAAGACCAGTTGAATGACATAGTACACTACACCAAAAAATCACCGCAATTAAAATTCAAAATTTTAAAAAGAAAGAACCAATTACCACAAGCGTTGAGAAGAAAGTCAAGTGCGAAAGGCCAAAGATCATTAAGCGTTGCTAGTTTATTCAAGCCAGTTATTAGTGATACCTAAGAAAGCATCTAAGAGCATTCTACCACCCCATTGACAGGTCAACCACAAATCACATGAATATAGGAAAGAGAAAAGCTAACCCGATCAGAGTCTTTTGGAATCTGCGCATCAGATGTGGAGTTCTGACTCTTCTCCCTCTCATTTCCTGTAATACCTGAAGTTGGAGGCTGAGGAGGTCTGGGAGGTGGTGGAGGTGGAAGCATTGAACTTTGCAGAGTGACAGTGTCTTTGGGTAGAGGCCCAGGAGGCAGCAGAGGCATTGATGCAGAAGGCAGTGACAAGCTTGGATCTGCAGCAGGTGGTTTTGGAGGAGCTGGAGGTGGTGGAGGTAGAGGTAGAGAAGAAGGTAACGAAGAATCATCTGTAGAAGCCAATTCACCAGCATCTGGTACTGGTGGTGGTGGTAGAGGTGGTGGAGGGGGGACAACCAAAGGTACTTCTTCTGGATCCATTTTTGATGAGGATGCTGCTGAACCTGATAGGGGAATCCTGGGTCCTGTTTATGTCCACAGTCAATCAAACTAATATGTGAAGGGAATGACTAATATACTAAAGAGAAAAAGGAGAAAGTAAGAGGAGTAAAAAGCTAATTTTACTTAGGAGTGTTGCATTCAAGCAAAAGAGGTGAGGCCTGACCTATTGATGATTTGTACATAGGTGGTTTTCCAGGAGGGGGGGCACCCGTAGGATTGAGAGTGGGGTGATAGTAAACAGAATCCTGCAAAGGAAAAACTGTTAGTCATCTGCTATATCTGAAAAGAATAAAAAAGATGCACAATACCCCAGACAGTGCTCACGTCAACTAAATCAGTCACTTGGATGTGCACTTTCATAAAACTCGAAGTTGTGTTTTCAAACCACACTTGCTTACCAAATAACAAATGACCATTACATATGGGCAGCATCTTACCTCTGGTTTAGGATGTTTCACTCTCTCCTCTTCTTCTGCAGTTGTCCGTCTCCGAGGAGGTCCTAAGTGGCTGAAACATGAAAAGTAATAATACATGGGAATTAAAAATAAGACCCCCCAAGCAGCATCATGCCACACAGAATAGTGGATGTTGCATGGACATGAAATATAACATATCACCAAAAGAACCATCCAAAATAATATGAAGACAAAAACAATAGTGGCATACCTGAACATCACAGGTGTCTCGCCTTTGTCGCGCATTTTCTCTTCATACTCCTATACGAAAGTGAACCACATCCAGTTAAGTAGTGAACAAGTATTACTGAACAGCTGAAATTTGGAAATGTAAATATATTACTCAATTTTTCAAAAGCTCAACTTGAATTGTTCATGGACATGATTATATCAGCAAGTTATGGATTTCAATGAATAGAAGCGGCTTCATAGATTAATGAATTTCAAGATAATGAAAGAGGAATTGAACAGATCACAAGGTGATCACAGCATGCCAAACAGGCTACCCAGAGATCTAACAAGAGCTTTCAAAATAATACACCATCTGTTATAAAATTGCTGAATTGCCACATTTATTACATATTAAGCAAGAGGAGGTACCCTCATTATTTTGACACGTGTCTTTTCCTCTTCCTCTTTTTTTTTAATAATTTCTATTTTATCCTTATCAATATCCTCATCTCCCCTTAATTTTTCCTTTTTATCTTTGTATCTCTTTTTTATTTATCTTTAATACTTATCTATTACTATTCCTATTTTTCTATGCTAAGAGACAACACAAACCAATATCTAAGAGATCACAGACCAATTCCACAAACGAACTTTTACATGCAAACATAGATGATCTTACTTTTACATACACTAAGAGAACACAATATCTCAGAGATCACAGACCAATTCCACAAATGAACTTTTACATGCAAACATAGATGATCTTAGATTCTTAATACCATAGTTATTCCTCATCCTTCTATGTTGTGTTACCAAAATTAGTACACATACCAAACAACCCATAGATGAGTAACCTAGAAGAGTTGTATGAATTTTGAAAACTGTTGCTACTTTGCTATATAAACAAGATCTTTGAAGAGTTGTACCTTGGCCTCCCCATTTGTATTGGCAGTCCTAGTAAGTATTATTGGGAGCCAGCCATTGAAAATTTCCATAGAAGGCTCAACATGTAGCAAGGATGCTTCCTATCCCTAAGGGCTCATATTGCCCTTATTAAGGCCACCCTCTCTAATTCACCCATTTACCTCTTTTCCATGACTAATTGTTGTTGATTCTTTAGAAAATATGAAAGCCTTTTTGTGGCCTGATAACAAGCATAATAGGAAGATCTAGGGCTTGGGATCACTTCACCAAGGTGGTTTGGAAATATTCGAAGCCTGAGTCATGAACCTCGCTTTATTTGGAAAGTGGTGGCGGAACTGCTACTATTGAGGAATGTCATCATGGAAAAATATCCTACCAATTCTCCTTCCTGGTTTCCTCAGAGGAGAGTCACTTCTAGGTCCTTGGGTTTTTATAGAAATATATGTCCCTCTCGCCAACGTTCTCTCTCCTATACTAGGTTCAAGGTGAATTTTGGCCATAGGGCCTCCTTTTGGGCTCAAGGACAGGTGGCTGATTTATTACATATCGAACCTACTAACAGCCTGAGTTGCTCAATTTTTTGAATGCTCTCATCAGCAGAGGCTATCAAACCCAAGCTTTTGAAGGTCCCTCGACACCTGACAGGCTCATCTGGAACTCTTCTGAATCAGGAACCATCATTGTTAGCTCCTTCTATAAGACCCTCGCAACCAACTTTGTCAATAGCAGTGATTCAAAAAGCGGACCACCCAGCGCCTAGGCATCCAATCTGGGCGGTCGACCCTAGGCGGTACGGAACCTACCTAAGCAGCCGCTCAGGGCCTGCGCCCCGCCCAGAGGCGAAAAAAAAAATTTCTTTGTTTCTTTTGATTTTTTTTAAATATATCAAAGGTTAGAATGAGGAGTTTTAGGTTCATTTGAAGCCTAGACCCACAAGAACCCTTTTAGAAAGAAAGAAACGTCCAGAAAACTACATTTCATTGGATCGAAGTGTTTCTCAAAGTTTGGAGTTCAAGCAATCAAAGTAAGTGCAAAACTTATTTTTTAGACTGCTTGTTTTATTTTGAGATGTCTTCTTCAAGAATTAGTTGGAGTGGAGATCCAGGTTGATGGATACAACCCGAATCCAAATAACAAAAATTGCGTTAGATGCAATTTTTGTGAAAAATATATAAAAGGAGGCATAAACTGGTAAGAAACATCTTGCCGGTATTAAGGGGGATGTTGCCCCTTATAAAAATGTTCCTGAAGCTATCAGAGAAGAGATTAAGCAATATATAAGTTATGTAAAACAAGAACAAAATCCTTGTCATAGATCTATTTCTGCTACTTCTAGATCCGGGTTGGAAGTATGGGTACAACCCCAAACCAAATGATAAAAATTGTATAAGGTGTAATTTTTGTGAAAGAGATACCAATGGGGGTATTAGCCGATTCAAAAAACACCTAGCTTTAGAGTTAAAGCAGTTCGGGATGAGATTAGACATCTTCTGAAGTTAGAAGAACCAGAAAAGGATAAAAATAAGCCTTGTTCTATGGAAGTATCTTCTCCAAGTTCTTCTAGAAGTGGTGATCCGGGTTGGAAGTATAGTTATAACCCGAATCCAAATAATAAAAATCATATTACATGTAATTATTGTGGAAAGGATACTAATGGGGGCATTTACCGGTTTAAAAAACACCTTGCCGGTATTAAGGAATATGTTGTCCCGTTTAGGAATGTTCCTGAGGCTACCAGGGAGGAAATTATACAATATTTGAGTTCAGAGAAACACAAAGAAAAGGATAGAGCAACCAAGACTCCTAGGGCCACATCTGCACAAACTGCACATACTAATAAAAAGAAGGTAGAAGAAGAGGAGGAAGAGGTAGACTCAAAAGAAACAGAGGAGGACAAGCGTTATATTGAAGAGAGAGATAACTCTGATGATGATGGCCTCGACTCTGATGCATATGATGAGGCTTGCCCTATTGATATTCCTTCTGATGATGATGATAATGATGATGATGATGACTGAAGACTCTTGCCTCTTGGTGCTGAGTGTTGACTGTTGACTGTTGTGTTGAGTGTTAACTTTTGCATCCTAGACTGTATATTTTCTAAATTTCTATATATTTTATTGTGTTGAGTGTTGACTTTTGTATCCTACACTTGTATGGTTTTACAGTTTACTGTTTTAACAATATGGATTATCAAAATTCTCTTCTCGACTTCTATCTTTTCTTTTTTTTCCAACTTGGAATATAGTATGTTTTTTTCAACTAGGCAGCAGCCCAAGTTTTGGGCGCCCGCCTAGGCGGGCTGCCTAGGTGTTGGGCGGCCTGGACCCCCCAAGCCGCCTAGGACCCGCCTAGCGCTTTTTGATACACTGGTCAATAGTTCCACCCTCAACTCTGCTTGGATTGATCCCCTGCCTCCTAGAATACATGCTTTTGGATGGCTTACAATTCAAAACCTAAACCTTACCATTAATAAACTGCAAAGAAAAGGTTTGCCTCTCACCAATCATTGCTGCCTTTGTTTGGAGGCTGAGGAATCCCACAACCATCTATTCTTGCACTGCACCATCACATAAACTATTTAGGCTTCTAAGCTTAAGGACTCCACCTGCGAGTGAGGTTACTCCCCATTCCACGGAGCACCGATTTTCAGCTTTTTTAATCTTCCTCACCTTGAGGAGGGCCATTTTTTGTGGAGAGCTACTATTTTGGCCCCCTTACGGAATATTTGGAAGGAGAGAAACTCTGGGACCTTTCAAGGTATCCACAAACCAATTTCCTATATCTTAAACCAAATCCGCAGCACAACTGTCTTTTGGGCTTCCAACCACAAGCTCCTCAAGCACTTCTTGAGGTCTGATTTACAACCAACTGGAAGGACATGAAATCAACCAACTGGAAGGACATGAAATCAACCAACTGGAAAGACATGCACAACTCCAGACCGACCAGGCAGCCTCGATCCCCCTTTTGGTCTCCCCCAACCCATGACTACATCATACTCAACTTCGATGGCCAATCTTTGGGTAACCCAGGTCCCTGTGGCTTTGGGATGTCTTCGTAGATGTGAGGCTAATATATTGTTGTCTTTTAATGGTGAGCCCATTTGGGTCGAGGCTATGGCACTTTTGGAAGGAATCTCAAGGTGCCAGAACCTGATTGTGGAATGAGACTCAAAAAAGGTTATTTTATGGACTCAGTGCTCGTCTCTTCACCCTTGGCGCCATCATTTATTTGACAAGATCTTATACATTTGCATCTCTTCGAGTAGGCTTTCGCCATATCTGGAGGGAGGCCAATACGACAGCAGATGCTCTAGCTGAGGAGCGCGCTGCTGCTAGCGTTGTCCCACCGCTTCAGTAAAGCCGGGGCCCTTCCTAAGTGTACTGATCTATGTTTTTTAGAGGATTTTTTTTCCCGTCTCTCTCTCTCTCTCTCTCTCTCTCTCTCTCTCTCTCTCTCTCTCTCTCTCTCTCTCTCTCTCTCTCTCTCTCTCTCTCTCTCTCTCTCTCTCTCTCTCGTCTCTCTCTCTCTACTCTCTCTCTCTCTCTCTCTCTCTCTCTCTCTCTCTCTCTCTCT